TCAGACCACAGAATGAGAATGCACAGTGATGGGGTTGAGCCTCTGGGGTGCCAGTATTTCCAGGAAGTGTAGTTCACCTGCTGCCAGGAGTGTGAACAATTAGGAGCTAGCACGGGCAACCTATTACCCATAGGCCAAATCCAGTTGCCACCTGTTTCTCCATGGCCCATGAGCTAAGAATGTTCTTCACATTTTGGCCAGGCACGGTGGTTCACGCCTATAATCCCAGCACTTTGGGAGGCCAAGGCAGATGGATGGTCTGAGGTCAGGAATTCGAGACCAGTCTGGCCAACGTGGCAAAACCCTGTTTCTACTAAAAATACAAAATTAGCCAGGCGTGGTGGTGCACACTTGTAGTCCCAGCTACTTGGGAAGCTGAGGCAGGAGAGTCGCTTGAATCCGGGAGGCGGAGGTTGCAGTGAGACGAGATTGCGCCACTACACTCCAGACTGGGTGACAGAGCAAGAGTTCATCTCAAAAAACAAGCGAACAAACAAACAAAAAGAATATTCTTCACATCTTAAAAATGGCTGAAAATAAAACCGAAAAAGAAGACATATCTCATGGCACATGAAAATTGTAAAACACTCAAATTACAGTGTCCATGGATAAAGTTTTATTGCAATGCAGTCATCCTTATTCATTTATATATTGTTTATGGCTGCTCTTGCCTTACAATGGCAGAGTTGAGGAGTTATAACAGAGACCATATGGCCTGCAAAGCTTAAACTACTTAATATCCAGCTCTTTACAGAAAAAATTTGCCAAGCCCTAGGCTAGAGCCCTCCCGGAGAGACGTTGACAGGAGCTGGAAACAGGAGGAAGACCCTTCTCTCACCCTATGTCCTTCCAGCCACGTCTCAGTGCTTCTTAGTAGCAGAATTGAATCGGAAGCCAGCTGGCAAGAGAGAGTCTGGCAAAGGCTGTTGGCTGAGGGCCCTCACACCACAGAGGAGGGTGGCGTGGGCCCGAGAGACAACAGACAAACAGCACAACTTGCAAGTATCTTATACTGGCCTTTTCCTCTTCTGTCTCTGCCCTCCCTCCCTTAGTACTCCTATGCACAGCCATGGCTTCTATCACATCTCTGTAGACAATGCACAGATCCATGGCTCCGTGCTTGACTTCTTTTATCAGTCTTGCATTTCTAACTGCCTTCTTGACAACTCCATTTAGAAGGCTTCCCTTCATCTCAAAGTCACTATATCAATTGGTAGAATTCATATTTTCTATCAAGCTTGTTTCTTCTCCTCTGTTACCCATTTCTGTTGGCAATGCCACCATTGTCCCTGGCTTCATGTTTGGATCCTCTGTCTCTTTTCTCTCATGTCAAAGCACTTAGAAAGACCAGATCTTTCTCTGTAAGACTTCACAACTATTCTCTACTTTCCCTTCCCAGCACCATCACCTGGGGTTGTGCCACCATTACCTCTTGCCTAGATTATATATATGATCTTGTAATGGGTATTACCCCACACAAGTTTCATTCCAATTCATCTCACACATAGTTGCCAGATTAATCTTCTGAGTCATCAGATTCAAAGTCCTTTTGACTTCCCTTCATCTATGCATTAGCTGGAAATTTAAAACTTTTATATAGTTCTGTATTAGTTCATTTTCACGCTGCTGATAAAACATACCCAAGACTAGGTAATTTATAAAGAAAAAGAGGTTTAATGGACTCACAGTTCCATATGGCTGGGGAGACCTCACAATCATGGCAGAAGACCAAGGAAGAGCAAAGGGACTTCTTACATGGTGGCAGGCAAGAGAGAGAGCCACGCGAAAGGAGAAGCCCCTTATAAAAACATCAGAACTTGTGAGACTTATTCACTACCGTGAGAAGAGTATGGGGACACAGCCCAACCATATCATTCTACTCCTGTGCTTCTGCAAGGTACAACCTCTCTCCCGACTTCTTTTATGGGCTGGTGTTGAGTGTCTGTGACTTTTCCAGGTGCATGGTGCAAAGCTGTTGGTGGATCTACCATTCTAGGATCTGGAGGATGGTGGTCATTTTCTCATAGCTCCACTAGGCAGTGCCCCAGTGGGGACTCTGTGTGGGGGCTTCAACCCCACATTTCCAGGCCCCCACTGCTGTGTATGGAAATGTCTTGATGTCCAGGCAGAAGTTTGCTGCAGGGGCAGGGCCCTCATGGAGAGCCTCTGCTAAGGTAGTGCAGAAGGGAAATGTGGGGAGGTACAATTCAAGATGAGCTTTGGGTGGGGACACAGCCAAACCATATCAAGTCCCAGTGACTACAGTTTGGTTTTCCAAATTTGTTTCCTATTTCTTTCTTTCCTATTCTCTTCCTTTCCAATACTTTCATATATCATCTTGTTCCTTCAGGTTCTGTGCACTTTATTTTTACTCTCTCCTCTGCCAGAAATGTTTTTGGTACTTGTTAGGATTAGGTTCAGTTATGAGTGACAGAAAACCGAGTGTAAGGGGCTCATTGAGGTTGCACCAGAGCCCTTTGGCCCGTTTAATCATCTCCCACAGCTTCTGAACATCGAGAGAAGCAGGGGCAGCTTTTAGCTGAACTAGATAAAAGCCTAGTTCCATTGTCTGAAATCTGGGCAAACTCTGAGGTGTAATTTACACTCCAGAGCTGACCTTTGGGACCAGGCTAAGGCTGGGGCTTTGCTGAAACATTCCCTTGCTTGTCCTCTTCCCTTCCCTGTCTTACTTTCCACACTCCCTTACTGGTTTCTCCTGGGAGCATTTTTTTAATTTTTATTTTCGAGATAAGGTCTCACTTTGTCACTAAGGCTGGAGTGCAGTGGCATAATCATAGCTCACTGTAACCTCAAACTTCTACACTCAAAGGATCTTCCTGCCTCAGCCTCCTGAGTAGCTGGGACTACAGGCACATGTGACTTGACCAGCTAATTTTTAATTTTTTTTGTGGAGACACGGGTCTCACTATGTTGCTCAGGCTGGTCTGAAACTTCTGGCCTCAAACACTCCTCCTGTCTTGGTCTCCCAAAGTTCTGGGATTATAGGTGGGAGCCATTGCTCCCTGCTTGGAGCATCTGTTTAATAAACTACTTGCACATGAAGCCTTGTCTCAGGATCTGCTCTGGTAACCCAATCTAGGACACTTGTAACAGTGGCTTAAACAAGATTGTAGCAGGCCTCATATCGTGCCTTCATGATCAGACTGCCTCAACATTGTAGTCCACATCCTCAACATGTGCCTTCTGAGGCCTAAGATAGCTGCTTTGGTTCCAGTCATCAGAGTCACATTCTAGACAGCAGGAGGGAGACAAAGGACATGGGCATGCTCCTTCCACTTGAGAACACCTCATGGAAGTTTCATCCCTGACTTCTCTATAACCTTTTATGCAGAATGTGGTCAGGTAGCCATGCCTGGCTGCAAGGGAGGCTGGGAAATGTAGCCTTTATTCTCAGTGGTCAACTGCGTAGCTAAAATTTTGGAATATGATTACTGTGGAAGAAGAGGAAACAGACATTAGGAGACAACTTGTAGTTTCAGTTACATGCTTCTTCTCATCTCTGCCTGTCCAGAGTCTTTCAAACCCAGTGCAAATGCCACTTTCACCTCAAATCCTTCCTTGAGCTACTAGTTAAAATTATCACTCCCTCATGGCACTTTGTGTGCCCTTTACTTGTGGCACCACAGTTTTTCTATCTGGCTTGTACTTATTTAAATATGCCTTCCCCACAGGACTGTAGACATCTTTAGAGTAGACAGCAAGCTTCAGTGAATTTCTGAGTTGAAAATTGAAATAGTACAATCCCATACTCTGGAGAATGTGGTTTTGGAGCCCGACCAATCTGGTTCAAAGTCAGGCTTTATCTTTAAACCAGTTATGCAACATTCATTTGCTTATTCTACAAATATTTATTGGTGCTTCCTCTCTGTCAGGCACTATTCCAGGTGCTAGAAACTTGGTGGAGAATAGTACAAATAAGCACCCCACTCCCATGAAGGAACCATAAAGGATGAGGGCTAAGAGTACAGACTCGGCCAGGCACGGGGACTCATGCCTGTAATCCCAGCACTTTGGGAGGCCAAGGTGGGCAGATCACCTGAGGTCAGGAATTCGAGACCAGCCTGGCCAACATGGTGAAAACCTGTCTCTACTAAAAGTACAAAAATTAGCTGGGCATGGTGGCACATGCCTATAATCCCAGCTACTCAGTAGGCCAAGGCAGGAGAATCGCTTGAACCCGGCAGGCAGAGGTTGCAGTGAGCCAAGACCACGCCACTGCACTCCAGCCTGGGTGATAGGAGTGAGACTCCTTCTCAAAAACAAAAACAAAAACAACAACAACAACAAAAAAAACAGACTCCACAGCCAGACTGCCTGGGCTTGCATCCCAGCTTCACGACTTACAAGCTGTGTGGCCATAGATAAGTTACCTTGCCTCTCTGTTGCTCAATTTTATCCTCAGAAACACAGAGATGTTCAGAGTGTAACTTTTCAGGATAGTGGTGGACACTAAGTGAGTTTACACATATAAAGTACTTGGAACAGTGCCTGGCACAAAATAAGGACTACATTAGTGTTAGTTATTAGTATAAGCTTGCACAGCTTACATTCTAGTAGGTGAGGAAGTAACCCAAACAGACAAACAAACAAAAAATATTAGGCAGGTGATAAATGCCATGAAGAAAATAAAAGAGAAAGGTGGGAGAGAGCACTACTGAGGGTCTGTCTCGTACCAGGTGACCTGGGAATGTCTCTATGAGGGTTGACATTTAGCAGCAATGAAGTGTTTGTGGGAAGAGCTTTCAAGGGCCAGCAGATACAGGGGCTGTGAAGGCAGGCCGGAGCTGGCCGGCTGGAGGCTGGAGCACGCAGTGGAGGGGAAGGTGCAGGAGATAGTCTGGGAGGAGCTTGGGGCCAGACACCATTGGGGCTTTGTGAGTCCGGGAAATAATTTGGATTTGATTCTTAGTACAATGGCAAACCATTGCAAAGTTTTAAGCAGCAGAGACTGATGTTTAAAATGCTAATGCTGTCTGCAGGTGGAAGGAGAATAGCTTGTGAGAGTGTACGAGGGGAATGAAGGGGTCAGATGAGAGAGCACTGCGGAGATGGAGAGAGGCAGAGAACTTGATGCATATTTTGGAGGCAAAATCAACAAGATTGGCTGATGGATTAGAAGCAGAAGGTAAGGTGAAGAGAAAACTCAAGGGCAACTCTCAAATTTTTGGCTAGAACACCTTTCAGAGATGGGGAGATGTGGAGAGACAGGTGGGTGGGAATCAAGAACTCTACTTTGGTTACATTCCGTTGGGCAAATCACTTCAGCTCTCTGGGCTTCAGTTTCCTTATCTAGAGTATGAAAATAATAATAATGTCCCCATACACAGAAGAGCACTGTGGTTAAGGGAAGAGATGCCTGGGCTTAAATCTCAACTCTGTGTTTGCTAGCTATGTGACCATGTGCCAGTTACTTTCTCTCTCTGTGTCTCAGTTTCCTCATCTGTAAAATCAGAACCATCCTAGTACCTATCTCAAATGGTTGTATGAAGAATAAAATATTTAATATTTACAAAGTGGCTAAAATAATTTCTGGCACATGGTAAAGCTATACTAGAATCATAGATATATAAAACCAAATAGGGTAGGCCAGGTGTGGTGGCTCATGCCTGTAATCCCAGCACCTTCAGGGACTGAGGTGGGAAACTGCATGAGGCCAGGAATTCGAGATTAGCTTGGGTAACATAGCAAGACCCTGTCTCTACAAAAACTTAATAAATTAGCCAGTTGTGGTGGTGCACGCCCATAGTCCTAGCTACTTGGGAGGCTGAGGCAGGAGAATTGCTTGAACCCAGGAGTTCGAGGTTGTACTGAGCTATGATCATGCCATTGCACTCTAGCCTGGGTGACAGAGAGAGACCTCATCTCAAAATGCAAACAAAAACAAATAGGGTAGAATTGAACCTTATATTAGATAAGTGACTCACCTCCACAAGATAATCATTAACCATTGTTAAACAAAGAAAGAAAGAAAGACTTGTCCCCTCTGGAATATACTAGAGAGATCTGCCCAATTCCACATGATCTCTTCCAGAAATGGAAGAGGAGGGAATATTTCCCAATTTGTTTTATAAAGCTAGTTTTATGCTGATATTAAAATCAAATGAAGATAGTACAAAAAAAGAAGGAAAAGGAAAACTACAGTCCAATGTCCCTCATAAATGTAAATGCAAAAACCCTTAACAAAATATTAGCAAATAGAATTCAGCAATTTTTAAAAAGCAGTATATACCATGACCAACCATGCAAATCTCATTCAATATTCAAAAACCAGTCCATGCAATTTACCATACTAACAGGCATTTTTTCTTCTGAATGTTTTATAGTTTTATGTTTCACCTTTAAGTCTGTGTTCCGTTTTGAGTCAGTTTCTGTGTAGTGTGTGAGGTTTATGAGGAGGCTGACAATCAACACCCCTGGTACTGGAACCCAGGAGGGAGTGTAGGGAGAGGGAGGGCAGGAAGGAGTACAGGGGGTGGAAGAGAGTCCTGGGACGTTCGGTGTTTTATATTGTGAAATGAACACATTACCAATTCCTAGAAAAATAACTTATGACTTGGCAACAGTTTGTTGAATCAATAGCTAGGATTAACAGACGGAATATATCCTCAGAAGAAGGGGAGGCCGGGCGCGGTGGCTCAAGCCTGTAATCCAGCACTTGGGAGGCGGACGGGCGGATACGAGGTCAGGAATCGAGACCATCCTGGTAACACGGACCCGTCTCCACTAAAAATACAAAAAAACTAGCCGGCGAGGTGGCGGGCGCTGTAGTCCAGTACTCGGAGGCTGAGGCAGGAGAATGGCCTAACCGAGAGGGAGCTGCAGTGAGCTGAGATCCGGCATGCACTCCAGCCGGCTACAGAGCAAGATCGTCAAAAAAAAAAAAAAAAAAAAGAAAGAAGGGGATGGGGGAAAAGCCTCCTGAAGGTCCTTGGCATGCAGCCTTGGAGGGCATACCATCAGTTTTTCCGTGAATTAACCCCTAGTTTCCAGGAGTCTTTACTCACCTGGTGAGGGCTTGGGGGTGGATAGGAATTGATAGACCCTTGGTTAGTTGTAGTGTCCCAGAGGAAGAATCTGGAGCTCTTTGCCTGCTGACAGGGGATGGTGGGAAGTGGGTGGCTGTGTGGGAGTGCTCTCTGGGTCATTTTCCTCAGGGCAGGGTGATGGGGATCTGGGGGAAGCTCTGTCCGGGGGCCTGGCTATTTGTCCTGCTCTGCATGGGAATGCCCAGCCAGTCCTGGATGCCCCTAGGACAATCTCGAACCTACTGCTCTGCCCCAGTGGTTGCCAAGTGGGCAACTCAGACCTGGGAGGCTAAGGGTGGGAAGGCATTGTAGGGGAGAACGTCCTGTGGGTTCAGGAAGGCAGGCAGGTACAGGTTGGGAAATAGGTTAAAGCCTTAGTTAAAATGGGAGGCCCTCAAAATGAGTCCCTGGGAATTTGGGAGTGATGGTGCCAGATTCCCTTCTCTCATCTTTTGTAGGGCAACAGACTGCCTCATCTGGCCATCCCTTACCACCCGGGGGTGTGAGATCCATGGTGGGACATACAGGTGATACAAATAATTTGATGAGTGATTGTGTCATTGAAAAGTGGCAGTCCCCAGGATTTCTTTCACTGACTTTTTATCCAGTAGGCCTTCAGTGATGTCAATGTATAAGGTTTTATTATACCTATATTATCTCAGCCTTTGTGTGGGTATCTCCAGCTAATGTAATACAATAACTTATCCTGGACTTCTCCCAGCTCTGGCATGGGGTGGCCAGAAGTATTTGGGGCTAGGCATGTAATACATGGGAAAGGGAAAGGGAAAGGGCCAGCTACGGTGGCTCATGACCGTAATCCCAGAACTTTGAGAGGCTGAGGTGGGTGGATCACATGAGGTCAGGAGTTCGAGAGCAGCCTGGCCAACATGGTGAAACCCCATCTCCACTAAAAATAAAAAATTAGCTGGGTGTGGTGGCAGATGCCTGTAATCCCAGCTACTCAGGAGGCTGAGACAGGAGAATCGCTTAAACCTGGGAAGCGGAGGTCGCAGTGAGCCGAGATTGTGCCACTGCACTCCAGCCTGGACAACAGAGCAAAACTCCGTCTCAGGAAAAAAAAAAAAAAAAAGAGAGAGAGAGAGTTACCATCCTATCACTGCTTGCTATGTTCCAGGTATGCTGCTAGGTGCTTCACAGGTATAAACCACTGCAACTCATTGGAAGAATCAGGCAGTTGTCAAGTTCATGATGGCAGATACAAATTTTTTACAATTCTAATTTTTGCTGGAAAGTTCAAATTTTATCAATGGCAGCAAATATTGTCAGCTAATTTTCTTGAAGTGAGAGTCTCTTTGCATTTCTACGAAAGTGCCTGCAAAATACTCAGACCTGAATAATCATAGTTTGTCATTCCTTCCAGTAAAAATTGTGTTTCATAAAAAATGTAGACAGTTCAGCTATCTCACATGATTGCACAAGTACTGTTTCTTGAGATATCATTGTTCTTTAGTATGCAACAGAAACCTTTAATGTATACTCCCCATTTCTTCACAAAGATTGTTGAAAAGACATGTTCTCATGAATCAAGATTTAAGAAAATAACCTGAAGTGAAGCTAGCTTTTCCCCCTCATTGCAAGTGTGTGGCATTAAGGAACAGAATGACTACTGGGACAGTTTGGTGCCACTGCTTTGATTTGTGCTAAATGCCAGCAGTTTTACCCACCATTGCTTTTGTGTCATCAAAAAAAATATCAAAACTGTTCTTCTAGAAAAAAACATGAAATTAAAAAAAGCACTGAAAATTTTACCACCCTTTGTGTTTTTTCACGGCCAGTTTGAAAAGCTAACAAGTTTTGGATTTTAAAGAGCTCACCATATCTACATTTAAAATGCTTAATTCGTTTTTCTCTAAACTCTGAATGATTGGTCTCAAAATGATGCTGCAACTAACTATTTATAGTAAACAATTAAGTTTAGTAATAGTATTGCTAAAATACTCTTCAAAATATTCTGTTGAATAAGACATAATAAGTTGAACTATTACTATACACATAGGTGAGGAAAATATAGATTTCATTATATTTTTGGTTTTTATTTAGTTTTTCACAATTTCTTTGGCATATATCCCTCCCTTCAGGTAGTCAGAGAACCCTCTGATATGCCGATTTCATCTTTAAAAAAATTTATTATTTATTTATTTTATTTTTAAATTAAATTGATACAAAAAATAAATAGAGGTGGGGTCTTGCTGTGTTGCCCAGGCTGGTCTTGAACACATGGCCTCAAGCAATCCTCCCACCTTGGCCTCCCAAAGTGCTGGGATTACAGGTATAAGCAACTCCACCTGGCCTAATTTCATTTTTTTTTCAGTATTTTTACACTGGGATGGTGCACCTGGGGGTTGAGAAAGCAAATCTAATCAATCCATCTTATGCCAATGATAAATCCTTTACTATAAGAATAAATATATTGTAAAGGAATGGTCTAATAACAATTTTGGTTAAAATTACACAATTCATTAGGGTTTAAAAACATTTTAAAATGTTATTACAAAACAAGGCAAAGTGTATTACTTCTTGTGTTTTCAGATAGATGTAAGAAAAATTTCAGAATTTTAAAATAAAAATTTAGTAGACAATAGTATTGCAATTATAACAGGTATAACTGAAGATAGCTAGGAAGAACACAGTGAGAACACGAGAAGAAACTGAGTTATCTCCAAACAAGCGTATATTTATACCCTAAATCTACTTCTTTAGAAAAATTTGGAAAACAATGTATACATACACATTTCATTAGCTGTCAGAGCAGTGGTGTTACCACTTGCCAAGTAGCCTCTGGAAAACTCCACTGTACGTTTGTGAGAGAGTGAGGGTATAAAAGGCAAATAATGTCCTACTTCTATTATGAAAATAATTTGACCTCTTGGAACCCTACAAAGGGTTCCCCAAGGGGTTCCCTAACTATGTTTTGATAACTGTTAAACAAGGGTAATATTTTTTCTGTGGAATGTTATGCAGTTTTACAAAGCAATGAGATAGATATATGTTGCCATGCAAAAAGTTGTACAACAATGCAAGTGTTTACAATATGATACACACGCACACACAGAACAAGCCTACATATTCTATACTTATATATATATATTCAAATGCATAGAAAAGCTCTAGAAGAACACACTATTAACTGTGTTTCCTTTTCAGAAGAGTACAGGGATCTGGTGGCTTACTGTTGGAGAACTTTTGCTTTATCCGTATTTTTTAAATGGTTACAAGGAGAATGTACTCATTATTACTGGTGTCATTTAAATCTATTTATAAAGGATATTTTGTCTTCACTTTTCTTCTGGATGATGTTCAAAATTTATACAATTTAGATTTTTTTTCAGATCAATTAATTGTTACTGTTCTCTGGAGAATCTTTACTAGGGCAAAGGAGTATAATTGCTAGATAAAATACAGAATACCTAGTTAAGTTGGAATTGCAAATAAAACACAAATCAGGGTTTTTTTTTAAAATGTATGTATGTCCTATGCAATATTTGAGACATACTTATACTAAAAGATTATTTGTTGTATACACGAAATTCAAATTTAACCTGGCATCCTGTATTTTGATTTGCAAGTCTGGCAACCTCATAAAGGAGGCATGGGGGGTGGCCTTTAGTGCCAAGATGTGGAGTAGAACCCAGATCCATTGGCAACTTACTGATGTTAACCGAAGTGTATGGCATGCCACCTTTGACAGTCAGAGCTCACTAGAGGATAAGGAAGCTCTGACAGGAGGATAAGGAAGAATAAGGAAGGAGGATAAAGAGGATAAGGAAGCTCTGATAGGCAGATAAGAAAGCTCTGACACGAGGATACTGGGGGCAAAGTCATGCAGGCAAGCCAACTTTTCTCCTGATAAATGCCTCTGTGGCTGGTCAAGTTAGTGAGCTATTATGATAATGGGAGTGAGGATTAAGTTGGAGGGAAGTTGTAAAATGTTACAACTGGCATTTGGGCTTTGTGTTTAAACACATACAACTCTTGCACAAAATGTAGCCCTTGGAGTTGCGCTTGCATAACTCTCCTGTAGCCACCATAAGGTTGGTAATATTTCCTGTGTTTCTGGACTCTAGTAAGGCCCCTATCTTTCTACATTACCCAGTGGCTATCAAAGGCTGTGGCTACTACGGGGGATTTCCTTGAGATGGTAAAAGGTTATTGCAAGAACTTTCTTTTCCACTTTATTTTCTTCCCCTCAGGGAGATGTACATATACCATTTCCCCCAAAAGTGTTTTTCCACATTTTTTTGTCTTCTGAAATTTCACCATAGTAAATACTTCCTCAAATGTATAAACCCTTAGTATTTTTCCTTAGGGTTTTTTCTTCTTTTCTCAGTTTTTTACCTCTTTTCTCTCTTCCAGATTTTGCCATAGAGAAATCTCTTGCTTTTTAATCTTTCCAATATGTGAACCAACCAACCAGTCTACCAACCAGCCAACCAACCAACTACTCCACCAGTCAACTAACTCCTCCCACAGACAAAGATTGGAGAATGCTTCAATCTGGTACAGAGACCAAAGCAAAGTAATACTGTATCATGTACAGATCTCAACTCTGTGAAGACAGTCCCTCATGCTGTAGGAAGTCAGCCTTGAATATCTAGGCTTAGGGGAGGCTGAGGAAGGTCACCACAGGAGAAGTAAGTGGTTGGGGGCAGATCAGGATGCAGGGCTCTCATTTCTCATGGAGAGATTTTGCTTTTTTAAAACGTCAGACCTACTGGTGTTTGCACTCAGTTTTCTTTCTTACAAAAATCAACTCTATTGAAGTGTACTGCCCAATCAAGATATAGAACATTTTCATCACCCTAGAAAACTTCCTTGTGCCCCAAATCCCATCACTGATGTGATTTCTATCACTATAGCTGAGTTTTGTCTATCCTAGAACTTTACATAAATTGTCCTTTTCTTTTGACTTTGTTTATGTAGTTTTTTTCTCATGTGGAAGAAAAATAATTATTGCAGTTTTATGGTTTTTAAAAAATATTCAAATCGGATTCATCTGACATTTATTTTGGTGTAGTGTGTGAAAGGCACAGATCTAATCTCATTTGTTTTCTCCCAGAGAGCTACCTGGTTGTTTCAACGTCATTTATTGATAAATGTATCTTTTATCTCACTAGTTTAAATGCCACCTTTATCATATATTAAATTCCCAAGTGTGCTCGGGTATATTTCTGGACCCTCCTTTCTTTTCCTTTGATGTGTTTATTCATGTCTCAATACAATACTCTTTTAGTTATGGTTGGTTTATTTTTAAAATGTCTCATGGTTTAGAATTTTCTGCTCTATCTCTTCAATGGGTTACCTCTCACCAAGGTTCCCATATTAGTTATCTATTGCTGCGTAACAAATTATCCTAAAACTTAGCAGCTCGAAAATGTGTTATCTCACACTTTCAGAGAGTCAGGAATCTGAGAGCACTGTAGCTGGGTAGTTCTGGCTTAGGATCTCTCATGAGGTTGTGGCTATGCTGTCAGCACGGCTGCAGTTGTCTCAAGACTTGATTGGGGCTGAGAGATTCGCTTCCAGGCTCACTCACATGATTGAGCGAACAAGCCTTAGTTCCTCACTGGTCTCAGTTCCTCGCTGGCTGTTGGCTGGAGGACTCAGGTCTTTGCCACATGGGTTTGCAATAGGGATGCTCCCAATATGGCAGCCAGAGTGCTGAGAGAGAGAGAGAGAGAGAGAGAGAGAGAGAGAGCGAGCAAGCCTAAGACAGAACACTTGGTTTTTTACATCCTAACCTCGGAAGTGATGGACCATTAACTCTGGCAACTCTGGTGTGGTGTGAGGAGCTTACATGCATGTGAGTACCAGTGGGCAGGGATCATAGTGGCCATCTGGAGGCTGGCTCCCACAGTTCCAGTCCTGGCTCTCTTCTCTTTTCACTTTATTCATGCTCCTGGGAGCTCTCTTCCACTTAATGAGGCTGCTTCTACCTATGACCAATAATCCCCAAATAATTCTCCTTATCGCTAACTCAGTCTTGAACTCCGGAACTATTTATCCAATTGTAGGGATACCGCCTCTGAAATATCCCATAGTGATCTCCATGCCTTTTATTATGCTTTCCTTGGGTACCCTCTGAACTTTAGACCTTCTTCTATTTTGACATGTATCCCTGCGTTGCATTTATTTGATCCTCCATTAGACTATAAGCTGATATTTATTTATTTATTTATTTCTGTAAGCTTATTGAGGGCAGGGACTATGTTTTCATTATTTTTTGTGTTTGCAGTACTTGGTGCCTAGCACGAAGTGGGGTCTGGAGCCTGCTTGAGTTTGGGGCTGTGGACTCGTGGGTTCATCTGTTTCCATCATGCGACAGCATCTTTGGGGACAGCCAGACTGCCAAGAATGGGCCCTCAAACTGTGCTTTGTACTTTTTTTCTTCTTTTCCTTTCCCTCTTCCTCCTCCCAGTCTCAAGATATAACTTTGAGACAAACTGCATATGTGTTACCTTTCATCTCGAAATACAATCTCAGAATGTGCTGTGAACCTCCACTACCTTTCTCATGCTATGCCCCCATGCCTTATGCACATTTATTTACCTAAATGCTTGTTAAGCACAAACCATGCTCTCTTATCTGCAATATATTTCCTTAGAAGCTTTGCTGCAGTAGGTAGTCAGGCAGACATGAGCAGGGCAGGAGAGGGCTCCCCACCCCACACCAGGAATACAGGTGGTTACGCTGTTTCTCTAAAATAATAATTGGCCACAGATGGTGCCAGGGAAAGGCCATCTCCCAATATATAGAAACACCTGAAGCTGGTGATCAGCCGCTTCCAGCTAAGATCTCAGGAGGTGGGTGAGTGGCCTCAAGCATGCACATCAAGAGGTAAAATGGCTGAGTTTAACTGGTATATGACCTTCTTCTAGGAACACTCAACTGGTAAGGGAAGAATGCTTCAAGTGGGCGTGCGTACAACTCCAGTATACACACTGCACATGAAGCCCCTCCCAGGTGCTGGCAGGCCATTGCACATGCAGAATGCCAATATATAAGAACCCAAGTCCAAGGTCAAACCTGGCACTCGATCTCTCAAGTTGCTTGCTTGGCCCTCTTTCTAGCATACTTTACTTCCTTTCATTCCTGCTCTAAAGCTTTTTTAAATAATCTTTCACACCTGCTCTAACACTTGCCTTGGTCTCTCACTCTGCCTTATGTCCCTCAGTTGAATTTTTTCTCCTGAGGAGGCAAGAATTGAGGTTGCTGCAGACCTGTATGGATTCACTGCTGCTAACATACTTTGGTGCCATGTGGCTCAGATACGTTCCCTAGTAGTAAGAGATCTCTACATCTCACCTTCTTCAGCTGGAGGTGTTCACCTCCCATACGCAGTTTCCTTCTCTCTTTTCACTCTCCTGCCTACTAACTAGCCCTCAGAATGATTCCTCTCAGCCACAGAGGCTCCGCTACCCATGGCTGATCTCTCAGTTCACCCTAACAGGTGGCTTGAGGGGGTGGGAAGGACCTTGGAGTCTGCATCGAGTAGCTCTGAGGCAGTAATGGCTCTCCTGGAGAGGAAGCTCACAAGAGTAGCAGGGCTAAAGCCTAAAACCATGCAATACCAGGGGTTTCCCTGCTTTTTCAACTAAAATCCACTCTTTTCCAAAATCTGCAGTATCTATTCTCCAGTTTTCCTTGTGTGTATTCTGAAATGGCCTTGCACACCCACTGACTGTCCGCCTCAGGGGCAAGTCTGCTTCTTCTCTGGTTTCACTTTGCATGCTGTGTGACTGTTTTCTCTGCCTTAAAAGTCGCACTCCCTGTTATTTGTGTGCCCACAGCTCTTGATGCACCTGCTCAGCAGCAAAGACATTGTGCTCCCTTTGTGATTATCTCCTGAGATTTATACTTGTTTTTACTCTACCAGCGCAGATGACCTCCAGCCTTTCTGCTGTCTACTGGCTCATTGCTGGGACAGACATTAATTGGAACTCTGGCTCTGCCAGCTTCTTATGACTCACAATATGCTCTTCACTCCTTTTATACTCCCAGGGCCAAGTTTTCTGGTGGCATTTGAAGCCGTTTGTCTACCTGCATAGGACCTCACTCTGCTTTTTTTTTTTGAGTTAGCACTCCTTTGGGGAGAGGGAAATTCTTCCTTTGTCGTTTGTGAGTTCTTAACCCAAGCTCCATGTCCTATGGAGGTTACTCGTTTATGTCAAGAGGGCAAATAAATGTTGCCCTCTCAAATCCAAGGGCTGATATTTTTGTGAGCATAAGAAGGCTTTCCTTGAGTTTTCCTCTTGCTTCCTTCCACTTTCTCCAGTAGCTTCCATTTCTCTAATTACTTCCACACCCTTGTCAATGTGCATCAAGACCTTCAAGGTCATATTCGAAGGGAGGGAAGTCCAGCCCCTTGAAGCAGTTAGCCAAAAAACAGGCTTCTCGTCCGCTTAAAGAACATGGGAAATGGGAATCTGAGAAAAGATATAATCATTTTGTTGCTCTGAGCGAGCGTCACTATAAGGTCATGGAGACAAGGATACAGGCCAACCCAAGGCTGCAGGAGCAAGAGACCCATAGGACAGAACCAAAGGCTGGTCCCAAGCTAACAGATAACCATTAGAACAGAGACCAAAGCAAGGTTAGAGGTACATGGTAAGATCAGTTTCATTCTGGAACCCCAAGGATGAACAGGGGGCCCCCTGTTCACTCCAGTATCTCCTTTGTTATCAAGTGGGTAATTGTGATGAGATGGTACCAAGGTTAAAGGTATACAGTAAGACCAATTCATTCCAGAACGCTAAGGACAAATGGGGGACACCCTATTCAGGATAATAGAAAAGTAAGAAGGGGCACCATCTTTTTCCTTTTTCCTCCTCTGTTCTCTCTTCACAGATGGGTAATTGTGTCTCCAGACCACAAGACATGTCCCTTGGATTCATCCCCCAAAACTGGAAAAAGTTTGTTTCCCCTAAACCTTAAAACAAAACAAAACAAAAACCTAGTTTTTCTTTGTTTTTTTTTTTTGAGACGGAGTCTCGCTCTGTCACCCAGGCTGGAGTACAGTGGCCAGATCTCAGCTCACTGCAAGCTCCGCCTCCTGGGTTTACACCATTCTCCTGCCTCAGCCTCCCGAGTAGCTGGGACTACAGGTGCCTGCCACCTTGCCCAGCTAGTTTTTTGTATTTTTTAGTAGAGACGGGGTTTCACCGTGTTAGCCAGGATGGTCTCGATCTCCTGACCTCGTGATTCACCCGTCTCGCCCAAAGTGCTGGGATTACAGGCTTGAGCCACCGTGCCCAGCCTAGTTTTTCTTTATAATATTGTTTGACCTAAAAATAAACTGGGAGAAAATACAAAAGTCAGCCTTAGAACTTAGTGCCTTTATGCAGGAAATCCTCAAATTAGCCTCCTTGGTCTTTTATAATTGAGAGCAGAATAAGGAGGGCAAGGCCAGGGAGAAAGAGAAATGCAGGCACTAGAGGCAGGCTGAACTGGTAACTGCTTTGCAAGCCCACCAGTCCCCTCCAGGTTGCCCTGAGGACATTCCTCCAGGTAAGTGCCATTGGTGCTGAAAGCCAGGTCTCTGGAAGGCAAACTGCCCCAATGAGATAAATGGGAAAAAGGCCCACATGGCTTGCCTGTCTGCCATAAACTTGACCACTGGAGATGGGACTGTCCTGAAGGCTGAAGGGCCCCTAGGACAGAATCCCAGCCTCTGATGGCCCTGAGCTGAAGGGACTCTCCACTCCAGCTGGCTTCCAAATCAGTCATTGTCACCAATAGGACAAAGCCAAGGGCAACTCGGGAAGCGGAAAGCAAAATTTTAAATTTCTCTTTTGGGTTTAAGAGCTGCCTCCTCTGTGCTAATCTCCTTCTCTAAGCAACTCTCCTCCAAATCCTGTTGGGATCCACACCCCTTTATATTACTTAAGGTACTAATTACCATTCTCTCACCAGTCCCTGGTAATGTCTAGATACCCCACACCTCCTTGGGGCAAAAATATACTTTCCAAGATGGATGTCTACTTAATATTTACCCTATCTTTGAATTCATCTTTCCCTCTGGTAGCCCTATTTCTCCCAGAAAGCTACCTAAATCTTTAACCTAAACATTCCTACCTCAGGGGCTTAGAAATAGCCCACTATTAATTGAACAAGCCCTAGCAAAAAAAAATCTAACTGAGCAATCTCTTGAGAGGGATAATTTCTATAGTATGTAGACAATCTCTTTATCTGCTCCCCCTTCATGGGACTCGTGCAGCAACGTGCAGTACAAT